ACCAAGAAACACCAGGGTGGGTGTGGGTGGGGGGTATCAGCACAAGGATCCGATGACTGCAAGTGCTTCAGCCAGGATGCCTCTTTGAGCTGAATTGTGACACTCACCTTCTCCATCTAGAGACAGCAGATACAATAGATTTTAATATTTCATATTCACGTAAAATATCAGTGAAAATCAACAAACTACAGCTAACTGCAATGATAATGTGGGTGGATTGCACAAGTATATGGGAGTGAAAGGAGATAGATGTAAAATGCATAAAGAGTCCACTGATATCAATTCAAAAACAGAGAAAGCTTATTTGTAATATCAAAAGTCAATATAGTGGTTTAGGGAGGAGGCAGTGAAAGTGATGAGAGCACACACAGGGACAGGGCTGCGTGGCCTGGAAACTCCTATTTTGTGACCTGATGTACACATTATATTGGTCAGTTCATTTGGGGTTAATCTGCACCATCAGGAGATGCTTAGTTTTCTTAATGCTTAAAACATCTAAAATCTTACCATTTCTTCTTCATCATCTATATGAAGGAGATTAGAGTTCATAGAAGCGCAGGCCATCAAACTCTCATTCCAAGATTTTTTTTCCATACTAATGGAATAACAATTGTTGGAATACATGAACCACTCCTTCGGACAGTAACCACAATGATATGCTGAAAAAGATTATGAATTACTATCCAGACACAATATGAATTTTAAAAAATGAAAATGAATTTATATATTTGCATAGGTATAACCAGATATGTACATAACATATCTGTGCACCCTCACTGGCTGGTACATATGAAACAAAACACAATCGCTCATACAACACAAGTACAGAAAAGGGTCAGCCTCTCATCCCCTAACATATGTGTCAATATATAGCAAACAAAGAAACAAACAAATCTACCCTGTACTTCATCCTGAAAAGCACTGAACAAAACCACTATTTTAGAATGGTAAATTTATTTATCTCTTATTATAATATATCAGTAAAAAATTAAAGCCAATCAGTAAAAATAGTGTATAGTATTTTTAAATGAGTATTTCTTTTTATTGACAAAAAGGAATGCCCTCCTATAATCTTTATTCATAAACATTTATTGCACATTTTTCTAGTTTATTTTTCCCCCAAAATTTATGATCATTTTTTTGTATGGCTTAAGTTAGAGACAAAATATAAATTGCACTAATTCAAGAACTTTTAAAATCACCATGTACCTTTATGGGTTCTTCTTAGGGAGTAATTGTTCTGCTCCTGTATTACAGTAGCTAGAAAAATTAAAGTAATTCTTATAAAAATAATATCTAAACAAATCATAGTCATTTTAGTTTCATAGTTTGAAATTTGGTGTATGGCTTAGAATTAGAATAATGTGAAGTAAAATTGATTTTACCAGGAAAAAATAATAAAGTAATGAAGGTTTTAGGGAAAATTATTTCAAGAGCCTAAAGGATCAAAATTCACCACCTTTTACAGTATTTGATATAACCACATCGGATTTGTATTTCTCAAAAAGATTTTTCAGGATCCTAAAGCATATCTTTGAGTGATGAAATAAGATCATATACATACAATTAAAAACAAATGCTCTCTATAATATTTCTTACTTATACTTTTGACAAATTCAGAATAGCCTTTCCCCAGTTAGTCCAAATGTGTACATTGAAATGAAAGCTCTGTTTCCTGATATTATGAGATGTTTAGAAGCACTTCCAATCATTAAGTGAAGTTCCCCTATAATCTTTCAAAAATATATCTACAGGGAGTAACAACTGTCATTGTTATCACCACAGTGGCCATTAAAACAAGGCACATGG